TCATTTCTTTGGTCCTGGGACCCCCAGCTCTGGGATTCAGGTCTCAGATAGTGGCATGAGGCTACAGACTGGCACCTAGAAACTGCTTAAATATCTGAAAGGTATTTCTTCCCTCTCCCTGCTAGAGTGGTGCCCTGCTGGAATGCCCTCAGGCAGTGGGGAGGGAGGGGTTCCCTGGTGGCCCTTCCAGGCCCTCCCTGTCTACAGCACCATCTTCCAAAATTTCAAAGTAGCAGAGCTCAGAGCTAAGACACAGGCTCTGAAGACATCCCCAGATCTGATGTTTTCCAGCTCTGTGCAACTCATTGTATCTCTGGGCAACTCATTGTATCTCTGAGCCTTAGTTTGGTCTGTAGAGTAGACATAGTCAAAGAACCTCTTTTAAGGAGTTGTAAGGCTTAAGTGCTAGCAAGTGAATCAAGTGTGGGATAGAGTGCCTAGCACATGGAAAACACTTTCAGTAAATTATTATTACTATTAGCGAACGGAAAGAAGGGGTGGGACTAGAGCTTGCCGGTCCAAGATCATTCACCAAGGTTGTTAATTGATATATTGGACACTTAAGACTGCACAGGTGTTCCAAAAGTGATTTTGTTTTCTCTTCAGTAGGTGAGTGGTGCTTATATTCAATATAACACAATTTCTTGGTTTGGTTTTTCTATCTCATGGTCTGGAATGAAATGTGTAGCAAGAGCTATGAGCTATTTCCAGCTCTCACATTGGGAGCTATACCTTACCTCAAGGAAATAATCCTAAATCACTTTATAAATAAATTAGTGTTTAAGTGCCAGACAGTAAGAGAGTAGCTCAATAATCTACAGCATGTTAATGACTATTACCTATTTAAAATGGCAAGCATGTGGGAATTAGATGTGTAAATAGAATAATTTTAGTTGACAAAGAATAGTCCAAAATATCAATTGATTACAGTTTTGTTAGTACAACCATGGACATTAACAAAGATTGAGAAATTTTAGAGGGAAGTGCTTTCTTTCTCTAAAATTACTTAAGTCTATACAATAGTTTTACAGTAAGTGAGGAAAATAATGTCCTATAAATGCTTCCTGGGCAGAGCAAGAGGAATTAGAAAAATCATAGGGTTCTCCCTAAGGCATTCTCTTGACCAAAACAGAAAGAAATGATTAAGCCCAACATGGTGAGGACCTGTATCAGAATGATTGTAATATAAACCTGCAAATCTTTACCCAGAGAAATTCCACCTGCATAGCAATATCCTTTTACAAGAAATAAAGACCCCACTTTCTCCCATTGGTTGCCCATCCACCTCTCTACCAAAAACAAAACTGTGCTTAAGTCATTTACAGGCAGGTCTTCACAGAGTTGCTTAGCTCCTTGCTTTTGCTGAGGTTGGCTTTGAACTCATGATGCTCCTGCCTCAGCCTCCTGAGCTACTGGGATTACAGGCATGTGCCACCGCACTCCATTCAGTTCTACCCATTTTCAAAAGCTGAGCTGCACTGGGCATGGTGGTGCACACTTATAATCCCAACAACTCAGGAGGCCGAGATGGGAGGATTGCAAGTTTGAGACCAGCCTCAGACATTTGGCAAGACCTTGTCTCAAAATAAGATTTTTTAAAACTGGCTGGGGATGTAGCGAAGTGGTAGAGTTCTTGTGTAGCATGCAGGAGGCCCTGGGTTCAAAGTACTGGATTTTTTAAAAAGCTGAGTTGCAGCTCATCACCTGGATGAAGTCCCAACATTCTGACCTTGTGGGTTCCACCATTTTCAATCCTTACGTAGCTTTTCTCACCTGCATCAGTAGGAGGCAGACTTGTTCCCGCCATTCTGGGGACAGAAATACCGACCTCTTTGTGGGATTTCTTAAAATAGATAGATTTAATTCATTCTAAACAAGGAGCAGTTTCACAAGTAGGAAATACAATACTATGTACTGCAATATGAAATGGCACATTATGCAATCAAAAAACTTACATTAAGGGCAAAGGACTGTCTTCAGGCTTCAGTGATTATTCTCTCATATGCAGCTTGTTCTTTCCATTGGAAATTTAATGTTTTATGAGGTTAAAATATGAAACCAAAAATGAAGGTTCATCATTGATTTAATTTTTTTCTATGAGTTTAGCAGTGGAAGATGTCAACCAGGACCACAAACCAGAATTCTCTGGGAAAGTGGTTTTAGACCACTCATTTTGTCCTTAATGGGACTCTTTCTGTAGTTTAGTTTGTTTATGTTTGTGCATACGTGCATTTTTTTTTCCAAACAGGGTCTCACTGTGTTCTCCAAGAAGGTCTCAAACTCCTAAGCTCAAATGATCTTCCAACCTCAGCCTCCCAAGTGCTGGGATACAGGTGTGTGCCACTGCACCCAGCTTTACTTGTATACTTTTTAACCCTTAGTTTAGCAAACTAAAGTTTATCTTTGTTATTCAGGCTACTGAGTAATATTTTTGTATACCCCTACCCCCCCCCAACTTTGAGCAAGTGCTAGCAAGTCAGTGAATGAAGACTATAGAATCATCTTCAGCAGTAAGGTAAAAATCAAAGTTTTATTTTGGAATCGAAACCTCTACCATTAAAAAAAAAAAGCTTAACATGAAATTTCTGAAGGGCAAAAAGTACTTAAGTATTTAAAAGTAAGGAGACCTGATTCTAATCCCAGCATTGCCACCAGCCAGCTTTGCCCTGGGGGCTGGCAACTAATAACAGTCTCCTCTATGGGGAAGGAGATTAGACTAGTGGACTTTTAAGACCCAGTTCTAACCTTTAGTGATTTTAAGTTCCTCATTTCCTAATTTCCTGGCTTCAAATATTGTTCGTAGTACACCAACATTTCCTGACTTCCTGAGAGGCAGCTGGGCCTATGCCCAAGGTCCCATTCCTCAAGTAGCCATTGGCCCCGACCTTGGCGATCATCTGGCCTCTCTGGGTCTCCTTTGGACAATAAACTGTGACGAGGGTGGAGATGCAGGGGGCTGCTTCCTGCCTGTCTTACAAGGGGTTGTAAAGGCTACTAATTTTACAAAGGATGAATTCTCCCAAGAAAGATACTGCCCAAGTAAAATATCTCCATACTTGTGCTGTTGCTACAACATCCAGGAGTTATGAGGATGAGCAGAGAAGGAGTAGGTATAAGCATGTCTTATATTTATGGTAATAGAATGGAAAGAGACCTTAGAAGCCACTGAGGGACCCACTTTGTTTATAACTGAGCTATGGAAACCAAGAAAGAAACCAAGAAAGCTTGCATGGTGAACTCAAGGCCATAAGGTTACTCTATGGGTGACTGGAGCTGGGGCCTTGATCTCTACAGCATCAAAATAGAGGCCTTAGGACCTTCATTGGGATGACTTCTGGGAATTAAACATGCATGCAAAGTCTACTAATATCAGTAGAGAAAAATTTACCCCATACAGTTATTCTATGTAGACATTGTGTGAACACTGACCAGGCACAAATATCAAACCATTAGATGATCTTCGAAAAGCTACCTCCACAACTGCCAATTACAATTTCATCAGAAGATTAGAATCAATCTGTGCTTTGAGAAAGCCTGGCAGCCAATTGGTAAGAAAGAGCACAGAGAAACTCCAACTCCCCTCCCCTACAGACCACAGTGGTTAGGTTTTGTCCCCCAGGTTAGGTGTCTGGAAGAGCAACTAGAAATATCTTGCCAAGGTGAAAAGCCTGAGGAGCTCTGGGCTGGAGGGAGAATGTGATCCTCAATCTTTGCTTCTCACCTTTCTCCTTATCACATTCAATCCAGATTTACAGATTTGTCATCTCTGGTTCTTCCCATCAGAACATCCATTATAATTTCATTTCTTCAATCAACACATACTCATTGAGCCAGGCATACTGGTGTACACACTCCTCTAATCTCAATGACTGGAGGCTGAGGCAGAAGGATCCCAAATTAGAGGCAAGCCTCAGCAACTCAGTGAGGCCCTGAGCAACTTAGCAAGACTCATCTCAAAATAAAAAAATGAAAAGGGATGGGGGTATAGCTAGTGGTAAAGCACCCCTGGGTTCAATCCCCAGTATCCCAAACAAACAAACAAAACCCCCACATATTCATGGAGCACTAATTTTATATGGGGCACAAGAGAGTCAGAGAGGACTTAGAGTTTCAGGACCATTGTCATTTTAGAGTTTGGGATTCTTATGTGTAAGTGTGCATTTTTCTGAGGTCCTTAACTTTCTCAAATCTGTAACCCTAAAACAGCTAAGGACCACCATAGTGGGTGCACACTAGAACTTGATTTCCTACAACTGCTGTCCAGGTCAGTGTCTTCATCCTGCCTACTGAGTTGGGTTGGCAGGGCTGGCAGAGCATGAATAACTGGGGCATCTCTGCCCAGAACTCTCCTATTTCCTACAGAACCTCAGGCAGCAGTCCACATCTGTAGATTCTGCCTCAAGTGTTAACATTCTCCAGCGATTTGTGTCCTTGAACTTCAGTTGACCCTAAAGAGGCCACCACTAGGGTATGTCAACAGACTGTCCATGCGTCCCAGGAAGGGACAGATGCTGGGCCACTTTCTGGCTCTCAAAGACCTTTCATTCAGTCCTGCAGGGCTCTGTGACTTTCATGTCCTACAGAAGGTCAGGTTGGAGAATCTCCCATTTTTTTCTGAAAGTCTTTCCCTACCTACTGCCCTGGGCGACCTGTGACCTCTAAGAAGGCTGTCTGGGGATTGCATAGGCTATTGATTGTCCCCCTGTGTCGGGTAATACAGTCATCACACTGCTACTCCTATGGAAGTGTTTGACAGGAGGATGGTAATGGCTCCCAGGAGAACCTCGGGGTCCACTTAGCACATGCCATTTAATACAGAATTCCAGAATGTACTCCTTGATATAGTGGATGGGGTAGGAGCCAACGTCAGGGTGAGCTGTCGTCAGAACTAAGCTTAGGGGCTGCGGATCCCACCAGGAAAGCTCCACAGGAGTGTGTGCGAGCACGGGAGACCAGCATGGGAGATGCTGTGCTGAGTTCTGTCCTTTCTCCCCCTGTAGAGAGAAGACACGGTTCAATGTGTAGACCTTCTTCCTCTCCAGCGTCTCCAGCCTCCAACCCCAGGACATCACTAGCGCAGGTGAAAACGAAAGCCTGTCTCAGCGGCCATAACTCTGCCAGCAGCACCTCAAAGCCATTCAAAACGCCCAAAGACAATCTACTTACCTCCAGCAGCAGACAGCACACAGTCTTTTCTGCAAAAGGATCAAGGGATAAACCATGGTGAGTGTCGGGTACTGGCAGCCAGCAGCTGTCTGCCCTCACTGCCTGTCCCTGTCACCATGGGAAACAGTGTTTACTCTCTGGCTTTGTTCCTGCCTCATGTCTAAGGAATCTGGGGGACTGAGGAGGGAACCCAGAATAATGGCATGAGAAGCCTAAATTCCAAAGGGAATGGGGAACCTTAAAAGTGCCCGTGCCTGACGGGGGAATTTTTCTTCTCATGAAAGCTTAGCCAAGTTGTGTCTAAGCAAAGGGTAACAGGGAAATATTCCTCAGTTATATGGTTACCTCTCAATTTTCCACCCCAGTGAAGAGAAGCACTGGTATGAGCAAATCAAAAGCATAGGCAGTCTGCCCATCCTGGGGAGAGGCCCCGATCCTGCCCCAGCCCCAGAGGCAGGTTTCTTGCAGAGCCCCGGCTCCCAGCTCCTGGGGAGTAGCAGGTATCTGGGGGCTGCCTACGGGAAGAAGAGCACAAAGCCAAAGAGAAGGCCAACCCATCGATGGGGAGGGAGAGCACCAGTTACAGGTAACTGAGAAAAATCAGAAGAGGCTTTCCATTCAGTTATTCATCCCAGTCTTTACCAAAAAGTTCTGCTTCCCTGTGAAATGGACAGATAGGAAACCAAACTGAAAAGGAGGAGGAGGGGAGTCTCAGAGCCAGTGTGGAGAGCGCTCAGGCCTGGCTTATTACAGCCCCCGCCAGCCTCAGCCTTCAGGCCTCATGATGGCAAAGAAGGGGCAGCCTGGAGTCTGTCTAATTTACATCTTTAAAGAGAAACAGTGTTCCTTTAATTAATGATAGTTAATTACACTTCATACCTAGGAACGCTGTGGAATAAAATCATCCATCAATGGATCTGTCGCTGTACGCTAAAAATTGTGATGACTTAGTAAAAGAAGCTAATTATGCCAGATCGATGAAGGAGCCTCTTGTGATAGCCTGGAGAGGTTAGATGTGGCTGTGGAGGAGGGAGTCATCTGCCACCTCACCCGGCCTCACCGACTGGCTTTGCTTTCTGTGCCTTGTTGGCTCTGCGGCCTGTCCTGTGGGAGGATGCAGCGGATCAGGGAAGACCCAGCCTGAGAGTAACAGCCTGTGAGCTCTGGCCAGCATGCAGGCAGAGCAGGTCTCCAGTCCCGGAAGAGCTGAGTTTTCGACCGGGCTGCATGTCCCCATGTAAGCACAAGCTCCAGAGTCACTGCCTGTGTACAAAGCTCAGCTAGGTGACTTTGGGCAAGTCATTTGATCTTGTGCCTCCGTTTCCTTACCTGAAAAATGGGGCTTTCCCTCATGAGACTGTTGTGAAGACAGAGTAAGCTGAGTTTGATAAAAGCTTAGCAAGCACAACATCTGGATCAGAGTACATGTTCAGTACATCTTTAAGGATGATGTTATCATTTTCATTAATCATACATGCCAAAGGACAGAGCTCCCATAACTTGGGAGCTGCAGTCTGCCTAATAAGTGAGGGAAATGGCTCTTCAGAGTCACAGTAAGATGAAAACAGAGAATGATAAATAATAATAATAATCTATTTGAAGCTGGAGGTGTAGCCCAGTGGTACAGCATTTGCCTAGCATGTGCAAGACCTTGGATTCCGTCCCCCAGCACTGAAAAAAAAAAAAATTATGCAAAGTCCAGAAATGAGCTGAGAGAAGTGAACTCAGGAAGCTGGGCAAGGGGCTTACAAGTGAGCAGGAGATGCAGCCAGATCATAGATGATCATAAAATGAATTTGCCTTGTGAAAGAGCAACCAGGAGTCTTGGGGGTCCCGTGGCGCAAAAAAGCATTCTCTCAGGAGGCAGAACTCAGGGAGATCTGTAGGGTTAGATCACTCCCCACCTGCGATGGAGACTCGTGGCACTTCACACACATACTCATTAGGACCTGCATTGGCAAGGCTCCTCCAGCTAGGACCAGAAGGAGGCGTGACTGAGTCTGAAGGAGCCAGCTGATCCCAGGGATGGCAAGGAGGGAAATGGCTCTAAATGAAAACAGCCTTCAGAGCTAGGGTGGAGGAGAAAGCCAATGGCCACTGGCATCACTCCAAGCGGGTGAAGGGGAGTGAAGACAGCTCAGCGGGGTGCACCAGCAAAGAGGCCGCGGGCCACCGTGGTCTTCTAGCTGGCCTCACGCCAGTCTGCCTGCTGTCATCCTTCCACTTGCTGCAGCCAGGAACCTAAGTCAGGAAGAGAGGGGGTCCCCAAGGCTGGGAAGATGCAGCTTGGAGCTCATAGGGTCCAAACTGAGTTCTGAGAGGCCTCCCTAGAATAGAGTATGAAGAGATGAGCACTGAGCTAGAGGCGGGAAAGTGAGTTCAAGCCCAGCCTCTGCCACTCACTTTCTGTGCGTCCTTGAACAAGTCACTTAATGGCTGTGAGTCTCATTATACCAAGTATGCAATGGACTGATGATCTTCATGCCCTAATGACTTCTTCAGTCGATTAATTATTCCAGTGCAGTGCAAAACCTGTACAACTGTATACAGCAGCCTTGGGAATACAAAGTTAAATAAGACAGATGCTATCAAAGGGAATCTGCAAGAAGCGACATAAGCTGACATAGAGTGTAATGTGATAAGGGCTCTGATATTGGTAGCCCAGAAGAAGGACATCCAACCCATGCTGAGTACTCAAAAAGTTTCTCTGAAGAGGTTGCACTTCAGCTTAATTTGAAGGACAAGTACACATACTCCTCAGCTTATGATGGGGTTATGTAATTTTCAATTTACAATGGTAAGTTGAAAATACCATAAGTCAAGAGGCATTTAATATACCTAACCTGCTGACTATCTTAGCTGGACCACTTATAATTAGCCTATAGTCAGACAAAGTCCTCTAACACAAAGCCTACTTTATATGGTAACCCTGTGATCACTGGGCTGACTGGGGGCTACAGCCCACTGCCACTGCCCACTGTCACAAGAGAATGTCATACTACACATGGCTAGCCTGGAAAAAGATCAAAATTCAAAGTACATTTTCTGGGCCGGGGATGTAGCTCAGTAGTAGAGCACAGGCCTAGCATGCGTCAGGCTCTGGGTTCCATTCCCCAGCACCACAAAAAAACAAGTTACAGTTTATTCTGAATGCTTATGATTTTCACACCATCATAAAGTGAAAAAAATCACAAGTCAAGCCAGGTGCTGTGGTACACACTTTTAATCCCAGCTACTTAGGTGTCTGAGGCAGGAAGTTCTTAGGTTCAAGACCAGTCTGGGCAACTTAGTGAGACCCTTAGCAACTTACTGAGACCCTGTCTTAAGATAAAAGACAAAAATGCTTGAGATATAGCTCAGTGGTAAAGCGCCCCTTTACCAAAAATAAACAAATAAATAAATCATGAATCAAATCATCAAAAGTCCCACATGTCTATAGTAAGGAGATTAAAAAATAAAATGGGATTTGAATGTTATCTATTTATCCATAATTAAAAAATTAAAGCTGGGTGCTGGGGCGCACGCCTGTAATCCCAGCGGCTCAGGTGGCTGAGGCAGGAAGATTGCAAATTCAAAGCCAGCCTCAACAATAGTGAGGCGCTAAGCAAACCAGTGAGACCCTGTCTCCAAATAAAATACAGAATAGGGCTGCGGATGTGACTAAGTGGCCAAGTGCCCTGAGTTCAATCCCTGGTGCCAAAAAAAATTAAGACAGTGGGAAAGATGAGCCGGGCGGCACAGTGGTGCTCATCTGTAACCTCAGCAGCTGGGGCTGAGGCAGGAGATGGCAAGTTCCAGGCCAGCCTGGACAACTTAGTGAAACCCTGCCTCAAAAATAAAAAATAAAGAGGAGGCCAGATGTGGTGGTGCATGCGTATAATCCCAGCAGCTTGGGAGGCTGAGGTAGGAGGACTGCTAGTTCAAAGCCAGCCTCAGCAATTTAACAAGGCCCTAAGCAACTTATCAAGACCCTGTCTCTAAATAACATGTGAAAAGGGCTGGGGATGTGGCTCAGTGGTAAAGCACCCCTGGGTTCAGTCCCCAGTAACACACACACACAAAAAAATAAAATTAAATTAAAATAGAGAAGGAAAGATGAGCCAGGCAAAGGGAACAGAAGGTAGAAGAGTGTTTGCCCGTGAGGAGAGGCAGGATGTGAAGCCAAGTGGGTGGGCTTCAAATCAAAGTTTCACCGTCCATGGTCAATTCAGGAATTCAGACTTCACCTGAAGCCTGCATGGAGCTGTTAAAGGGGCAGTTTTCAGCTGTGGTAAGATCAGCCTGTCCTCAGTCTAAAGATGGCTTCAGGGCCACTCAGGAAGTGGCAAGAACAGTGAGGATGTTGTTGCATAATCCAAGTGATAGCAGTCAGGCCCGAGGCAGGGGTGATGAGCCAGCGGGAGAAGCAGCAAGGAGGAACCTTCACGGGATTTGGGGGTTGGTTATATGTAGGACTGGAATATACGGAAGAGTTGTGGATGATGTCGAGGTTCTTGGCTTGGACAACTAAGTGACTGGTCCTGCCTCCTTCTCAAGAGAAGGCTGATAACGGCCAGAGTCTAGGGAGGAAAGGAGAGATGAGTTCAGCTGGAGAGTTGGTGGACTGTGAATTATTTAATTAATTCCTACTAGGAGACATCCAGTGGGCATGGATCCAGATGTTTGGATCCAGAGGTCAGGAGAGAGGTACTGGTGGAATCCAGATTTGAGAGTCCTGTGTAGAAATGGGGGTTGAAGCCATGGATGCAGGTGGGGCCTCCCAGAAGATATGTGGCATGAAAAGAACAGGCCATAGGCAGGGCCCTGGGAAACAGGACCAGGGGAAGGAGAGCCCAAGGCCACAGGGCCAACTAAGCCTAGAGGTTTTAGTTTGTCTGCTTTTAGTAATAGACCAAACCCAGGGATGCTCTACCCATGACCTACATCCCCAGCCCTTTTTATTATTATTATTATATTTTAATTAATTTTTATTATTATATTATTATTATTTTTAAAGAGAGAGAGAGAGAAAATTTTTTAATATTTATTTTTTAGTTTTGCAGTGGATACAACGTCTT